ACTGGAGGCGACGGCTGAAGCTGCAGTCACACGGGCAACAGAAGCGGCTGGCACAGTGGCTACCGGAGCAAGGGCCCCAGACTACTGGAGTAACAGACTCCGCGGCTACGACGAGCGGCAGGAGCAACGGACCCACGGGCGACTGGCGCAGCAGGCTCACTGGGCTACCGAGAGCAAGGGCTCCGGACTACTGGCGCTGCTGGCGACACGACGACGACCTCCACGCAACCTCCCCCAACTGTCCCACACCCCTTTCACACACCCCCTGCAGAAACCCTAGCTCCACTTCCACGTCACCCCCCCAGCTCCACTCCCCGCGGCTCCCACACCTCCACCCCCCTCAGCAGCAGCTGCAGCAGTGGGAGACGAACAAGGAGGAGGGGAACACCCACACCGCGCACCCCCATGCTTGCCACCCCACACCCCCCACCACCGCGGAACGCACGGCGGCACGGGAGGAATGGGCAGCACGGGGGGGGGGGGGGGGGACGGGACAGGAGGGGCCGCGCGCTCCTCCCCAGGGCGCCAAAACGGACGGACGGGGGGGCGCGCGCGGCTCCCCAGGGCGCCGCGACGGACGGGCGGGGGGCGCGCGCGGCTCCCCAAGGCCGCGCGGCGGGCAGACGGGCCGCGCGCGGCCGGCAGACCCGCGCGCGACCTGCAGGGCGACGCGACGGGAAGGGCGGGGGCCGCGCGCTGCTCCCCAAGGCCGCGCGACGGGCAGACGGGCCGCACGTGCCCTGCAGACCCGTGCGCGGCCTGCAGGGCGACGCGACGGGAAGGGCGGGGTGTTGCGCGCGGGTCCCCCACGGCAGAAAACCGCCGCGCGCCTCGGGGCGCACGGCGGGCAGAAACGCGCCGCGCGCCCCGAGCGCACGGCGGGATGAAAAACCCTAAAAAATTGCGCCGCGCGCGGAGCGCGCGGCAGGAAGAAGACGGCACGCGCCCGAGGCGCGCGAGAAGCAGAACAGCAGCGGAAGTAGTTAGGTGGTGGGCCCACCCACAGGATCGACCCAAGGGGGTCGACCTGCTCTGAAACCATGTCAGAACTAGCAGCAGAAACAAGAATGAAGAAAGGAGGGGTTTCACTAGCAGCAGTTGGGATACATATAGCAAACCCTAACTGGGTTGTACTCGCTATAGAGCACCCCACTACAGATAATAACATTCTGACAGCAGTACCTCCACACGGTGCTAACAATCCTCGGCTTCCAACAGCTACCCCACGACCTCGGAATGTACAGGAAGGAGTCGCGCGGCAAGTTCATTCTCCTCGTCGCCTACGTCGACGACCTCCTCTACACCGGTGACGACACGGAGCTACTGGATCAGTTCGAAGCAGACATCAAGGAGCAGCTGGAAGTTACCATCAACCACGACGTCACACATTTCCTCGGACTCAACATCACCCAGTCTGCCTCCTCCATTCATCTCTCCGCCGCCAAGTACGCCGAAACACTCGCGAAGAAATTTGGCATTGCACCAATCAACCTCTCCACCCCATTTCGCACTCCTCCTCCTAACCACGAAGCCGACACCTCGCCCCTCTCTCTTGAGGATCATCGACTCTATCAGCAGCAACTCGGGTGCCTTCTCTTTGCCGCCGTCACGTGCCGGCCCGATCTCTCCTACGTCGCAAGCCAGCTCGCTCAGTACATGAAGCGACCTGAAGGGGAGAATCTACAGGATCTGCGCCGCGCACTCCAATAATTCATCTCTACTCCCGACGTCGGCCTCACCTACGAAGCTAACCTAACGGCCACCCTGCAGCTGCACGGCTACGTAGACGCTGACCACGCGGGAGATGTTGACAACAGACGCTCCCGCACAGGATCTATTTTTCAACTCCAACCTGCTGGGCTCATCTCATGGAACTCTCAGAAGCAGGAACTCATCGCTCTTTCGTCAGCCGAAGCAGAATTCATCGCCACCAGCGCAGCTGTTCGCGAAGGACTGTACCTGATGGAGCTCCTGCAGGAAGCAAAAGTAACGATGAACGGGCACTTCACGTTACTCTGCGACAACCAGAGTGCGATCAAGATCGCAAACAAGCCCGGCTTCGTGAACCGCACGAAACACATCGCCCTTCGCTACTTCTTCGTCAAGGACGAAATCGACAAGGGCAAAGTCAAGCTCACGTACTGCCCGACTGGTGACATGGCAGCCGACTTCCTGACAAAGAAACTGCCACGTCAACAGTTCCAGCACTGCGCCAACCTCTGCGGGATCACCAAGAAATCCCACGTGGCTCACCTTCAAGAATGAAGGGGAGTGTTGGGATAGCCGAAAGGTTATCACAAGCATTCTCGAAGACTCTCCACTGTCGCATCTCGTCATAGCGAAGCAGATGCTTTTACCAGTACCGCATGAGCTTGTATAGAGCACGCGGAAGTTCGAGGGTCACCCGAAGGTCAACAGTCGAAGACAGTCAACGGTCGTGACCCTTGACTGACCAGTAACCGCATAAGGCAGTTGCGAAGTGCAACATGGTAACTGTCTAGAACGGCAATAGTCGCGGGTCACTGTAGCAATGCAATTCAGTTAATAAGGGAATGTACCCCTCAGAGTACATGGCTAGCTAGGCTTGCTATTTATATTCTTGTACTTCTATCTTATAATTATCTTGTTCTCTTTCAACTCATTAACAAGGTCATTATAGAGACTTCACAGTTCTCTCCTATACTTGGCAACCTTATCCTATCCACTACGATTCTTAGTTATAACATCAAATGTCGAGGCGGAGGACCGGAGCGCGGGTTACCAACCGAACAGTGAGGTTGGGTCGCGAGGTGTACAGTGGCGGGAACAGTGGTCGAGGCGAATGTCGCGAGCGGGTAACGTTTTACTGTTGGGTGCTGGTGGCGGGAGGGGCGTGAAGTAAGTAAAAGGAATTTTCCTTGCACCCCTCCAGTCCAAACCAACTTACGGACAAAGGTCCCAGTCCAATTTCGGCGACTGATTCGGATGACGTCAGCGACGCAAACAGTCGCCGGAACCTTCAGTCACTTTTTCGTGCCTTCCCTCGTACTGTAGAACGACACCATTCCGCAGCACCAGGGGTGTTGCTCAGCCAGAATCAGCCCAGCTGGACGTTTCAGAATTGGGGCGTGCGCAGCTTGTAGAGGTATGTGACACGAAGTTGTTCAGTGCAGCGCAGATTCCATCAGAATTCTGTAGCGGTGAAGGCTGTGAGCTGTAACAACCCGATCCGACTGGGTTCGGAGCCCGTGACGAGCTGTGTTTCAGTAACGACGGCGTGTTTATAAACTCGCCCAGTGGCAGAACAGCTAACAGCCAAGAGCACCCGTACAGTAAAGTAGTTTAGGGTTTCATGCGCCCGCGAGATGCGACAGAATGTTAGGATGACGCGGCAGCCGTACGCTATGCAATATCGCGTTTTTCATCTGACTCACGATCGTAGTAGACAGGTGTCGATTTCCTTACTCGGGTGGAGCCCGCACGAATGATTGCATCCGTACTGCTTGATGCGTACTCAGCTTAGAGCGTGTAAGTTTTTGAATTTTCACGGTCCGGTCCGGACAACCGTTCGCGCAAAGATTCACAGGTATCCCGCCCCGCAACAAGCCGTCGTCGTAAAATTACAATCCGAGTTTTCACGAACAATTTCGCCTGTAAATTTTCGCGCAAACGGCAGTCCGGACCGTGAAAATTGTGCACGCCCTAAGTGTACGGTCTGACATAGCAGGCGCTTCATCATCCAACCGCCTCTGCTCCTCTGCGGGCCTGCCTCCACGTAGTGTATGCCGCGTCTAGTAGTAGGTCCTTCACCGCGATGTGCAACTCGTCAGCCATCGATGTGACCCGCGTATGCAACTCGCACTCAGAGTGACAACTTTACGCGGCCCAGCCAGCGGCGCAGACGCCAAATGGGGCAACCATGCTTTCTCGGTTTGGGGAAGAAGAGCCTGAAGGGGTCGTCTCGGTCGAGCAACACAAATCAGTAATTCCCGTTCATTCTCATAGCGTCGCCGCTTCTCATTTCGAAAGTTGAACTTCCTCAGGTCTGTCTACGGTAGTATAACCACCAATCATGATCATGGAGCGCCCCGTAGCATCTCTCCTCCTGCTCCTGCTCTGTATGCACATATGCCGCCATACCACTTCCGAGTCGACGTGATTCTTTTCTTCGGCGTCCCCCCGTTCTATCCGCTGCCCTCTCCCTCCTTTTGAGGCGCCTCAAAAGTGCTCTGTAAGCACAGCCGCCACTGCCACTTCCGAGTCGACGTGATTCTTGAGGCGCCTCAAAACCGCGAGTCATGGGACGATATTTGAGACGATCTTTGAGACGAAATTTGAGACGATATTGGCGCCTCAAAAGCCGCCACTGCCACTTCCGAGTCGACGTGATTCTGTCCTCCGTGCCGTCCGTTCTCTCCACTGCCGTCCGTTCTCTCCACTGCCCTCCGTTCTCTCCACTGCCCTCCGTTCTCTCCACTGCCCTCCGTTCTCTCCACTGCCCTCCGTCCTCGTCCGCTGCTGCTGTCGCACCCTCGTCCGCTGCTGCTGTCGCATCCTCGTCCGCTGCTGCTGTCGCTGTCGCAACGGAATGATCTGCGTGCTATTGCTGCTGTATAGTCCAATAGCAAGCAGCTGCCAATAGCCTAGCTATACCGGCAGCTGCTGCTGTCACATCCTCGTATCATGTTGCATCATTGCTAGCAACGGGATGATCTGTTGTTTGTTGTCGCTGGCTCCCTGACGCTGTCTGGGAGGTGTTGGGTTCTGACGTGGCTGTCTTCTGGCAGAAGCATCCATTCTCGTGGCAGCTTCAAAGGTCGCCCCTCATCGTGACTACCCCCATGCTCTCCCCTGCTCTTCTCTGCTCTGCTCTGCTCTGCTCTGCTCTGCTCTGCTCTCCCCTGCTCTTCTCTGCTCTGCTCTGCTCTGCTCTGCTCTGCTCTGCTCTCCCCTGCTCTTCTCTGCTCTGCTCTGCTCTGCTCTGCCCTGCTCTCTGCTCTCTGCTCTGCCCTGCCCGTCAGATGCGGCGCTCTTCACGGCCGCAGCGTCTGCAGCATCGCTCCTCGCGCCGTTCCTCCCACACGCCAGCAGCGTTTCGACCGCGTCCGCCACATCATCTGGCGCTCACGCCGCATCATCTGGCGCTCACGCCGCATCATCTGGCGCTCACGCCGCATCATCTGGCGCTCACGCCGCATCATCTGGCGCTCACGCCAAGCCCCTCGTGTGGAAAGGGAAGACAATCAGTACGTGCCTGCAGCCCTCTTAGCGATTGTTGAGGCGCCTCAATAGTAGTCCGTTGCATCATCTGGCGCTCACACCAAGCCCCTCGTGTGGAAAGGGAAGACAATCAGTACGTGTGATCGTCTGCAGCCCTTCTTAGCGATGGTGCAGCAACTGTTGATCCTTTTCGCGTATGAAAGAGCATTCCACATCGACGCTCTTTCAGATGCTCTTCTTACCGCACCCTCATGCTCTCCAGAGGTCTTGTTCTCACTGCAACCAACCTCATGCGCTCCAAAGGTCTTGTTCTCACTGCAAGCAACCCCATGCGCTCTTTATGTCTTGTTCTCACTGCAAGCAACCCCATGCGCTCCACATGTCTTGTTCTCACTGCAAGCAACCCCATGCGCTCCACATGTCTTGTTCTCACTGCAACCAACCCCATGCGCTCCACATGTCTTGTTCTCACTGCAACCAACCCCATGCGCTCCACATGTCTTGTTCTCACTACAAGCAACCCCTTGCGCTCCACATGTCTTGTTCTCACTGCAAGCAACCCCATGCGCTCCACATGTCTTGTTCTCACTGCAAGCAACCTCATGCGCTCCAATCCCTGCCATTCCCATTGCCAGTAGAATACGTCACCAAGCTGCATCCCTTGAAACCCAATGGGAAGACACAAAGTCTATCTTTTATTGCTTCCCCGGTCCCTGCCATTCCCATCATGTGCCTTTCCCATTGCCATTTAAGTATGTAGCCACGCTGCATCCCACGAAGATCAATGGGAAATTAGTCGGCGACAAAGGCGCATCAGGAAAATTCGTCATCAAGGGAATCAAGTAATATAGCTCTGTGTGATAACTCACGTCTGGTGCTATTGGTGCTAGGTTGTGCCCTCGATCCCTCCTGAACGCAAGGCCACTTAGGCTTTCCACCACCCACCCCCCACTCCCCACCACCCAACCCTAGAGTCCTCCACTCCCAACCCCCCTTCTCCCGCCCTTCCCTTCTCCACATCCCCCCCAACCCCCTTTCTCCCGCTGTCCCCTTCTCCACATTCCCCCACAACCCCCCTTCTCCCGCCCTCCCATTCTCACCCCCCCCAACCCCCCTCCCCCCTCCCTCCCCTTTTCCCCCTCCATGTCCCACCTTCGCGACTATCTCCCCCCACGTCCTGTTGGCAGGTTCTCGTCAGCAGCATATGTGTTGGACTCGCAATTTCATGTCTTGAACTCCAGGTCAGGAGGAAAGGTGCCCTTCGTATCCCTTGGGCTTTCGAGACGTCTCAAAACCCTTCGCAACTATCTCCCCCCACGTCCTGTTGGCAGGTTCTCGTCTGCAGCATATGTGTTGGACTGGCAATTTCATGTCTTGAACCTGAGGTCAGGAGGGAAGGTGCCCTTCGTATCCCTTGGTAGCACCTGTGCTCCTGCTTCCAACGATGGAGACTCGTTCGGCGGATGGGTGAACATCACGAGTACCAAGGCTGGTAACCGCAAGCGTTACAGCTTCGTTAATTTAGAATATGAGCCGATAGCGAGCTTGGGTCTCTTGCGTCAGCAGATTGGCACAATGGTTTTGAAAAAGTTTACGAAAGTTGGTTATGGGGGCAGCGCGAAGTCACTCTGTGGAGAGATAAAGAAAGTGAAATACCAGTAATACGGGGTGTAGTTTTAGGCCTTGATTCGCCAAGCTTGGTGGATCAACGTGAAGGTTCCAATTCCAAGCCTTTGCCATGTCATTCATGATTACTGTACTCTGTCTGTCAGCCAAGTATAGTTTGAAATAAAAGCGAACGGGTGTTCTGAAACTGGGTAACTGGCAGGCCCTCAGAAGTCAGGATAAAAACGCTGATTTGGCCTTGAAAAACTTTTTTTTCAGGCTTTTTTTGTGGCCTAAGGCTGATTGAAAAGTGTTTATTTTGATGTAAGGACTGATTTTTCAGGCAACATTCTGGTACCTTGCCTGATTTTTCAGGGTAATATCATGTACCAACACTGATTCGAATCCACACTAACGAACCGAGTCTTGTTGCTGAAAATGCGTGGATTCTATTCATTGGTCAAAATTTCGCGAAAATTTTCCCGTGTCAGCGTCAATCATGGGAGCGATTGTTCCCTGTACCTGGCTGAAACTCGAGTCGCACAGCAATTTGGCGTGCTGTCTAGGAAATCTGGCAGCACGCAAGGTGATTGGGCAGTTTCTCGTAATCACATGGGCCACCCACCGACGTGCCCTGCGCTGGCAGCAATCCACAGCATCACGGTTGTAAGCCGTGTCGCTTGTGGTACGTGCCAGAAACAGGGCAACTTGAGCACCTTGGATGGCACAAGCTGGGCCATCCGTTTCTGCATGCAAGGAAGGGACCACAACGGGCTTCGTCTTCCTCTGCCTCTTCCCCATCGTCTCCTCCAACACTTTCTTGCTAGGGTGTCAGCAGCAGCTGAGCGTTGTTTGTTACTCGGCAGACTCGTCCCTCTGAGCTTTAGTTTTCCATTGCCTCGCCCCTGCCGCCATGGCTGGATCTGTCGAGGGGATCGTAGGCGATGACGACCCCGACGATATGGACACATAATTAGCTAGAACCGGGTTAGACCTCCTTTTTTGCTCTCTGACTCGAGCTGCTGGCAGTCAGCCGAGTGACAAGGGTGATGTCAACTCGGCTTCACCATTTCCCACCGTCACAACTGCGTCTCCTGATACGATAACCGACACGGTCATGGCATGCACAGAGGCGGTGCCTTCTCCACCGTCGAATCGCGACGCTGCCGCTCCAGCATCGAGAACGATCCCGTCGACCCCACTTCCGCAGGCGGTACCAGCATATCAAACAAGTTCACCGTCAACTCACCCCATCTCCAGCCCAGCGTTTCACACAGCTCCACCGTCAGCACAACCCGGCGCTGGCACAGCTTCTATCCTAGTTGTTCCAGCAGCACCTTTTCGCATGCCGGTTCCACCATCACGATCCCCATCGGCGTGTCCTGTGTCACGCTACAAGCAGACGAAGATCAGCTTCACCCGTCAACCGCCTGAACCTGCCGACGAGAGCCCAAGCCCAGCCGACGATCAGCCCGAGCCCGAAGCTGCTGCCTCAAATGCGCCGTGCGAAAGCAACGAGGAGCTGTACTACGATTGCACTTGAGCGTTTCAAATCCCGTTGGCAAGGAGCGTTCTCCTGGTTACAGCTAACAAAAACAACCGCTGGTCTGCCTGCTTTTAAGTGTTCAGTGTGCATGGACCATGCAGGAGATGGTGGCAAGTGCGGGAGACGAGGACCAGGAGCTGTCGACGTGCAGAAGCAAGCCTTCACTCGACATGCCGCCACCAACACGCACAAGCTCGCCATCACGAGGCAGGATGCTCTCGTGGGAGCTACGAGGCAACCGCGGATTTACGAGCATCCGCTAGCGAACGACAGCGAGAAGAAGCGGGTCATCGCGCTGCTCGATTCCCTCCTCTTCGTCAGCAGGCAAGCAGCACCCATGGAGACATGGGTGAACCTGGTTCGTTACCTCTCCGAGAAGGGCGTTGCCGGTTTCCCGAAAAGGGGATATGGTACCTACTATACAACGTAAGTAAACTGCCCTTTTCGCTTATAATCGAATCAGTTTAATGATTGCTACAGTTCGGTGTGTGCATCAATTCAGCGTATGCTTCTGTTCACCGTTGGCTTCGGTTCCGGTATGCTTGTGTTCACCGTGTGCTTCAGTTCACCGATTTCTTTTGTTCACTGTCTGTTTCAATGTTCTATGTCAGCTATGGCTTTGGCGAGCTGACGCAGTCTACAGCAACCTGGCTCCAGACAACACAGCTCGACATCATCCTCGCCAGCCCGTACATCGGCATCTCCTGTGACGAGAGCACTGACCGCTGCAGCGGGAAGCACATGATCCTGTTCGCCACATTCATCCGCGACTCGCGCGTCGTCACGGAATTCATGGCACTGTTGACGGTCGACAAGGCAGATGCTGCTTCCTTGTTGCAGTTGGTGCGCTCCCACTTGGAAGCGTGTGGCGTGGATCTTCGGCGAATCACCGGCATCAGCACGGACGGGGCTTCCGTGATGATGGGACGGCAGTCGGGCTTGGTGGCACGGCTCCGTCTGCGCATTCCGCACCTCGTGTCTTGTCACTGCATCGCCCACCGGTATGTGTTGCTCAAATATACACGTGGTTGTCACTTTGTGTTTTAAAGCTTGTATCAGCTGTGGTTGTCACATCTTCTTGCATTGACACGTACACGGGTCTTATGTGGTTTAACGTGTCACTGCATTCCCCACCGCTTGCTTGTGCTTGCAGTGAGGCACTTGCTGCAAGGATGCAGCAGAGAGCCTGCCCGTGTTCAACATGATCGACAGCACCATCCGTGCTATCGCCGAGCACCTGGGCAGAAGTGGGCCATGGCACCAACGCTTCAAGGACCTCCAAGAGGTTTTCACCGAGACTTTCCTTGAGCTGTAGGGCATTCACACCGTCAGATGGCTGTCTCGTGGTGATGCCATCGCCAGGTTTGTGGCGGTCCTGCCCGCGATCATCACCATGCTCAAGGAGTGGAATCCGACGCTGTACAAGGTGGTGACCTCGTACAGGTTTCACTTTCTCCTTCTCTTCCTGTCCGACGTCCTTGACCAGATGAACGTCTTGAGCAAGGTGTTGCAGCGACGGCAGGTACGTTTGTGGTCCCATACCCCGCCCTGCCTGGTTACATTTCTTGCATCCTTGTTGGAACCGTTTACATGGTTGTACTTACTTCCTTTTCCACGTATTTTGTGCCTTGCTTCCCCCCCAGCTGGATCTGTCTACTGTGCATGCGCAGATCAGACGGACAACAAGCCATCTCGAGGCTCGATACGTCGACTGCGGTGACGAGTTTGCATCGCAAAACAGGGGGGTTGCGCTTCCCAGTCGAAAACCAGTTGCAACCCAATTCTGGGGTCAAACCAATCGCTCGCGAGTGGAAAGCGACTCTGTTTGGCGATTGGTCATCTACATCCTCTGTTTCGGACAGATTTTTGGCGTGTAGCAAGCGTCACGAACCACAATCTGGAGAGGTCTGGGGGTTCTCCGAACTGATTTCGAGGCACGGATGGCGAGCCTTCGGCTTGACAGAGCTTTGGAAATGCCCCTACAGTTTGCGCACCAATCATCGGGCTGTTCGTTCCCAAGATTTTGGGATTCGAAAACGAAGGCACGGAGTTGAGATTGATTGCCTGAAGGAGTTTTGAATTAGCTACTTGTACACTTCCTTTCATGTGATAATTGTTCTGTTATCTTATTGTTTAAAACATGACAACGTGGAATACAATATTACGCAATGTTTTCGAAATATTTTTCCGGTCTTGTGATTGCATCAACGAAACCAGCAGGGAGGAGCTGAATTAGATTGTTTAAAACTGTTGCAGTTTATTCACTTGTACATTTCGTTTAATATAATTATTGTAATGACATTTTGTTAACATTGTAGCTTGTAATAGAGTCTCCTCGTAAGCATCATAATGGTTCGTGTCATATATTTTCAGCAGATAGACCATCCCTTACTTGGATTACGCATATATGTTTTTTTGGATATTTGGCACAAGATATAACACACTCCCATCCCATAACAACAGAAACAAAAACAGAAACAACAACAACAACAACAACAACAACAACAACAACAACAACAACAACAACAACAACAACAACAACAACAACAACAACAACAACAACAACAACAACAACAACAACAACAACAACAACAACAAAACAAGAACAGCAAGAACAACAAGAAGAACAAGAAGAACAAGAAGAACAAGAAGAACAAGAACAACAAGAAGAACAAGAAGAACAAGAAGAACAAGAAGAACAACAACAACAACAGCAACAGCAACAGCAACAGCAACAACAACAGCAACAGCAACAGCAGCAAAAGCAACAGCAGCAACAGCAGCAGCAACAACAACAACAACAACAATATATAATTGCTGGAGTGATAATTTTTTAGCTCCGTATGTTAGGAAGGAGGTCAAGGCATTTCAATATCTATGAAAAATGTTGATGTAAAAAGAATGTTACAATCCCAAATGGGACTTAGCGAAGGATCGCTCAGGGTTGATCGCATGGTAATGTTTGCAGCGGAAGTGTTGACCTCAGGTCAGAGTGAATGTGAATGACTGAGATGATAATAGCATGCATACATCGTCTTATAATGTGTACAAACGTGTATACGTATGATGATAAAATTCAAGAAAATGTATATGTGTACATAAACGTTTATCCAAATTCTGGGCAGTATTGAGTTTTAATTGATCAATTTGTTGATGAATTTGTGAAAATATGAAAACTAAATAGTGATTACCGCACATGCGTTGGATTTTTGTGCCCATGGTCAGATATCACCTATATGTTGGACCATTTGTGCTCATCATTTCTGGTTCTTGAAAAGAGATGTTCGACGAAATGTGACTTCTAATCTGGTGGGTCTCTGGTTTGATCAATAGTGTACAAGAGGGTCTTGAAACTGCACAGCTGTAACACATACCAAATTTGTCGAGCTGGCAGCAGTTAGCGAGCCAATTCTATTTGTCGAGCTGGATATCGTTGTATACCTCAGTAAGCTAAGATGCCAATGCAACCAATCGTTGCTCAGAGCTGCGACAACGCTGCTAAGTGGAATGTCCTATCTGTTGCGAACACCTATCAAAATCCCGTTTTCACTGCTGAGCCACTGAAGGGCCGAATCAGAACATTCGACGCCACGTTGGCGGTTGCCTTGCTGGTTTCGAAACCTCACGTTGTAAGCCAGTGGCAGGTTTCGTCGCGAGGCTCTCAATGGTGAGGTGAGGTGAGATGAGGTGCATGCATCCAGCTACCGGTTCCATGTGCCTGCTTGTTCGTCGTCACCTTGAGCTCGTTGTAACAGCAGCAAGCACGGGCTCTTTCATTCTCATCGACGAGCTGTTAGAGACGTGACTTTTGTGACCAGTTTTTTTCCTTCCTTCACTCGTTCGTCACCCGTTCCTTCTCACGGTTGAGGCTTAGCTCCTCACATTCGCGACTTGTTACGTTCGCGACTTCAATTCGCTTAGTGTTATTTCTCACCTCAGTTTCTGCAGTGTCGAAGTGCTTTAGGTCGCCGCCGACAACAACAACAAGGACATCAGTGCAAGGCAATGCTTTGGATGCAGCTTCTCTAATCTCGGCACTGGTAAGCCATCTCGTATGCTCCTCTAAAATCGCTTTTGGATTCATAAACCTTGTCACCGTCTCGCTTCTTTGTTGTCAGATGTTGATACATGCAGGCGACGTGTGGAGCAGACGTGAAGGCGGTCTGCACAGAATCGTGTGAAACTATGAGGTGCGCTGCTTAGTCGATTATGTGTTGTTCTATTCTTCTGTTTTTGCTTCGTTCCAGACAATCGTGCCATTTATGATGAGCTCAGATTAATCTGTTTTTTTGTTCCCATGTTGTGGCAGATCGTGGATGGCGCATCGTTTAGGTTTTGGCAGACTGGTATTTGTGTTCTGCTGTGGTTAGCATGTCTCTGGTAAGCTTTCGTTTTCCTGCATTATTCTCTACTTACCGTACCTTGTTTTTGTTCTGTTGGTGTTTGTTACTGCTACAAATGTTCTGCATTGTGCAGCTCTGGAACTGTAGTCTTTGTTTCCGTGCTCGCGTTGATGCTTTTGTACTAGTTTAGTAATTTAGTACGAAGCGGTTTTAGTACTAGTTGGGTTTAGTGTTTGTTGTGTCGGCTGGGTTTTGCGTTTAGTTGTACTGTTATTTTAATGTATTGTGTTTCATTGTTGATATTTTCTTCTACCGGGTCAAATATATAGCTGGAAATTTTGAATCAGATTAGCTGCTGTATATATATTTTCGTATATATCTGTCGTATGTATTATTGAAACCTAACAACTGTACTGCTATATTTATCTACGCTAATTGGTTTCATCAGGTGTTACTATAACGAAATTTGTTGCAAGTGTAGTATCATTAATATTTATTGCTGCGATACTGTCACAATTCGAACATATCAGGATTGTAGAATAGCATTGCCATTTTTTGGTGTAGTTTTCGATGTTCACGACGATGTCGCGACATTCAACAAAATGAAAGTGCGCAGCCAATCAAAATATTTTCGCGCCCAATGTGTTTCGGCCAGGTGTCCTCGGCGTGTTCGCCGAATGTTTCCAAACCATCTGTACAGGTATGGCAGGCAGTCATTCGCCCACTCGGAAACCAATCTGCGGCTAGATGCCACTAGGATAGAAAACCAATCGCCAAAACCAGGCAAATGCCTGGAGCCGAAAACCACTCGCCAGCTAGTGGTTTCCCAACCGATTGCGGGACCCCCAAAATTCCCGATGTGGTGGCGGTCTCAGCCCCAAGCTTTCACCATGGCTGGAGAAGCATGGCCCCGACGGCACACGGGACGTCTGCATTGAGGGCGTGGATTCAGATGGCCAACCGACCACCTTCAACTTCACGCTGCATGAAGATCGGCTGGACGACTATCCTGGCCCCGGGCACAACGATGCATGCCTGGACATCTGCACCGAGTTTGCGGAGCTCATAGTGGCCAACCTGCTGGATCGGTTGGGGGACCTTGACAAGCTGTCGGGTGTGCGCATGTTCACTCCCGATAGCTGGCCGCACGACAGGCATGAACGCCTCGCAAAGTGTCAGGAGTGGCTGGAGTCGCTGATCACTCTCTTTCGGGCGGATGAAAGCGAAGAAATCGTGCCTGGTGAGCCAATAAGTGGTGCATTTGCATGTTGATCACCCTCCTCCTCTGCAGAATGCCACTCTTGTGCCTTCTGGCCAACCTGCTATCTTGCTCCTCCTCTCCTCCTCTGCCCACCCTTGATCCCCTTGTCCCTTCTCTCTCCCCCTGATTTCGTTCTCCTGCTCAGGCTACTCCACTAGCGCATGCCTCACTCCTCCTTCCTTACCCATCTCCTTTGCTGTCCTCACCCCACCTTCTTCTTGCCCTTATCTTGCTTGTTCTCCTGTTCGGACCCTTATCTTCTTGCCCTTATCTTGCTTCTTGCCCTTATCTGTCTCTTGAACGTTTACTGTCTCTAAATCTGCTCTGTATGCTTGTTTCCAATCTTGCTACAGGCATAGACAAGAAGAAGGCAGTCAAGGAGCTGCGGCTGCTTATTCCCGTCCTCGCACGTGCACCGAAGAGTGAGCGCGGCTTCCACACGGGGCTCACTGCCATGCTCAAGACCTCGGACTGGCAGGTGCACTACCCGAACCTGGTGCGGTTGTGGGTGGCGGTGGCGGTCTTGCCGCTGAGCACCGTTGAGTGTGAGCGCGGTTTCTCGCGCCAGAACATCATCAAGTCCTGGCAGCGAGGCAGCCTCAAGGATGCACGGCTCAGCGACTTGATGTGCATGTCGTTGATGAAGTACGAGCCCAACTGGGACGAGATCGTCGACATCTGGCGAAACTACAGGAAGAGAAAACCCTTCAACACCTGCACCGTAGCCAGGCAGGAGGAAGACAGGAGGAGGGTGAAGGAGGCGGAAGAGGCTGGAGGAGACGAGGACAACCCGCTTGATGTGGATGGTGATGATGATGAGGCTAGGGCTAGGGACGCGGAGGCTGATTGCTGGTGTTAGATAGGTGAGGTGAGGTGGTGTGGTACAGCATGCATGCATGCACTGCAAGCAATGCACCTAAGAAACTGCTATTAGTTTTTATACTTTGGTTGTTTCTGCCTTTTAAAATGTAGCTAGCAAAGTAACATTGTATTAAAAGTTTTTTCGTCCGCACTAATACTGATTAGAAAGTTTTTTTACAAGTACTAACACTGATTCATCAGGGTTTTTTTGTAACCGACCCTGACAGAAAGTTTTTTTTTGGGGACCAACACTGACGAATCAGGGTGCCCCAAAACCAATCTGAGGGCCTGGTAATTGGACCATGGTCGTATACTTGCCACCACCAGTGGTATCAGGGTAGTCTACACCCTACCCTGATACTGTCAGGCTAACCATAAATCCTATCAGGGTAAAAAAAAACATGCTCTTTTTGCAAAAGGGTAATTTTTGTGGAATCCTGATTTTGGCAGGGTAATCCTGAAAAAGCGGCCGGCCCCCAGGGTAATCAGGGCGTTTTACCCTGATATTTTGGGCCCTGACCACCACCTTCTGCAGGGGAAATGGGGTTGCTGGAACAGTGCAGTGCATGGGTATGCAAGGTGTACTGAACGTGCCTTGTGCGTGCTGCTTTTGCGTTTGAGGTGCCTCCAAAGTGAGGTGCTGCGTGCGCAAGATGTACTAAATTTAAGGTGCCTCGTGCTGCTTTTACGCGCGTAACGTGGGCCCGTTGGAGAGGCTGTGTCGATCTGGGATGGGAAGGACAGGGCATGACAAGGAGGATAAGGAATGAAACGGAAAGGGACTTGATGAAAGCGAAAAGTGTCATAATCACTGTGCAGGAATGATTGGACTAGCAAGGGTTGGGGAACAAGTACTAACCCTAGAAGTGCTGTACCCCATAAGGAGTGCCCCACTATAGCCTACAAGTGAGATTGTACTTTGACACACCCCCATAGGCTAAGTGGGAGACAACAAGACGGTCACAAGACCAGTCAAGCAAGACAACATAGCAAAGCAAAGCAAAGCTCAGGGTGGATCTCAAGGACACCACACAATCTGAGCACAAGCAAGCGGCCACAAGGTCAGTTCACATGCAGAGTTATAATAGCAAGGCAGTACACTGATCACAACCTAGCAAGAGGAAACATGCAGGTATAAATATAGATAGCAGAGTACAACAAGTGCAAGATCAAGAGACAAGCAGGTGAGTTAGAACGGGCAGAAGCCCAAGAGCACTGCGAAAACGCTGAAGATCACCAGACCCGAGGGCCTTGGTGAAGACATCAGAGTGTTGGCCTGAGAGGCCACGTAAGAAAGGCGAAGCTGACCACGCTGCTGCAGCTCTCGAGCAAGAAAGTAACGAAGAGCAATGTGCTTCGTTCTGTGCTCCATTCTCTGCTCCTGACACAAGGCAAGCATGGCCTTGTTGTCGACGTACAGAACTGGAGGAGAACGAGGCCGCTCCCCCAAGTCGGTCAGCAGGTACCGTCATAACCCGGATATAAGCGCCACCCTGGGATAAGCGCCAGGCGCTTGTAATTGGCATATGGCGCTTATATCCGCTCCTCGGTTATAAGCGCACCCCCTGAAAGAACTTGTTTTATTATAAGCGCACGTAAACTTTAAATTTTGAAATGTGTTCAAAACGCTGTAACGATTTGTACTTTAGCTGGCGAATGTGTTGCAGATTCGGTTCCCTTCACATTCGGACCCTGCACTGGATGCGAGTCTAGTCAGCAGGAGCTGTCAGGAGCTGTCAGGAGCTGGATGTGAGTCAGATTGAGTGTATCTCCCAGCGCGCGCGAGAATTTCACTGACGACCCCATGTAACTTGGACTCGATTGAAAAGGAAGCACGAGATCTACAGTTTGGTGTTAGAAGATATAAAAAATATATATGTCATTTTATAAGCGCTTGCGCTTATAAATTTACTCGATTACAAGCCCACCCCCCTAAAAAAACATGTTTTATTATTGCCCCCCATGGGGGTATATCCGGGGTGTGACGGTAGGTCAGCCAGCGTAGCTCCTGTGCAGCCATGGCCCCAGCGTAGATCTCGGCCTCACAGCTGGAACCAAGCACAGAAGAAGAACGAGTGGACCTCCACGAGACAGAACCAGAGCCAAGACTGAAGGTGTAACCCTGTGACGAACGCTGAGTCGCCTACTCGTCGGCCCAAGAAGCGTCGGAGTGTCCTGTGAGTACCACTGAACTCCGTCCTCCAAGCATGAGCCCCATGCCCGATGTACTGCACAAGTAACGCAGTACCCTCTTCGCAACATCAAAGTGCACCTTTCGGTGTCTACCGGGAGCCACGTAGCGAGCCAGGAGGCTGAGAGGGTACGCGAGGTCAGGTCGTGTGCACGTCATCAGGTACATGAGGCAACCCACTATCTCTGGGTACGGACCACTCGGCTGTACGTACTCGTCCGAAGGTGGAGCTGAGAGCGAGTGGCCGGTAGACAGAGGAGTGGGCTGTGGCGAGGAGAACTGGAAGCCGAAGCGCCGAAGGACCTGGTGCACCATGTGTGACTGAGTCAGGGTGATGGTGCGCCGTGCTCTGTCCCGGGTGATCTGCAAGCCAAGATAGCTACGCAGCTCACCCAGGTCAGTGCAGGTGTGTCTCTCCTGCAGCTCCGCCTTCACTAGGGCCAGCGCCTCGATGTCAGCAGTAGAAAAAACCAAGTCGTCGACGTATACGAGAACGTAGAACGGCGGCAGAGTAGTGTCGGTGCGTAGAAACAGCGACGGGTCAGCAGAGGAAGGAGCAAACCCAAGAGCCGCAAGTGTAGTCCTCAGTGTATCGTGCCACTCTTGGGGCGCCTGTCGGAGACCGTAGACTGGCCGACGGAGGCTCCACTGCGTACCCGCAGGAAACGACCCAGTGAAGCCAGGTGGGCGGCGCAGCCAGATCTCCTCGTGAAGGCTGCCCTGCAAGAAAGTTGTGGAGAAGTCGAGGGAGTGCAAGTCGTATTCGCGCTGTGCTGCAACGTGCAGCAGCGCCCGAAGAGTAGTCATCATCCGGGTGGGGGAGAAGGTCTGTAAGAAGTCGACCCCCTGTCGCTGACTGAAGCCTCGAACAACGTAACGCGCCTTGAAGGCAGGCGGAGAACCCGGTGGCCGCTTCACTATGAAAATCCACATGCCATCGACTATGTTCGCCCCAGGAGGAGGAACCTCGTCGACGTAGGTGCCTGTGGACTTCCAGGAAGCCATCTTTGCGTCCATGGCTGTCTGTCACTGAGAGGAGTGCTCACCCGCGATCGCCTCAGCGTAAGAGCGCGGCGTAGGGATGTCAGGTGCACCCGGGTCTCCCTCAGGGCAAAGCAGCATGGATGCGAAACGAGGTAAAACGGCCGCAAAACACTCAAGCTCAAACTGGCTGTCGTCAAGGATGTCACTGCCAAGGGCAGGCTCACCCCCGAGGGACGGAGGACAGACAGACTCTGACTCAGTAACAAGACTCGCGACATAGTCAAGACGGCGTCTAGCAGCAAAGACGACTAGCTTAGTGACTAGAATAACACAGCAGTAGACTCAAAGTCAGGGTCAGTGACGACAGTAGCGAGGAGACGAGTGACAGTAGGACTGGCAGCACGAGCAAGGTCGGACGCAGGGTCAGGACCGTCAGGAAGAGAGGACGCCGGAGGAGATGGCAGGGGAACACGCTGTGGAACAGAGGAAGGACGAAGTGCCATAACGTGAGTGCCTGGGACAGCATGAGGAAGAGAACGAGCGACACGACGAGCACAAACAGGTGTGGAAGCACGAGTCTCAGGCTCACGACGCTCAGTCAAAGACTGAGTTACCTCAGTGTCAGGAGAAGGAGCAGGGAGCGGGGAGCCAGGCAGTAGCTGTGGCTGAGACTGGTCTGTCGGTGGACACAGGAGAGGTGGAGTGAGGTCAGTGGAAGACGGAATACTAAGAACCTGGCGAAGGGCCGAGTCAGGCGGTGGCAGGGACGACTGCGGCTGCGGGTAGAAAAACGGTCGGCTCGGCGCAGTACCCGTACCGTCACCAGCTCCAGCACCTCCAGTACCTCAAGTACCTCCAGTAGCACCTCCAGCACCTCCAGCACCAGCAGCACCACCAGCTCCAGCACCTCTAGTGCGAGCACCTCCAGGACCAGCAGCTCCGCACCTCCAGTACCTCCAGTACCACCAGCTCCAGCACCTCCAGTACCTCCAGTACCACCAGCTCCAGTACCTCCAGCACCAACAGCATCCCAGCTCCGGCAGCTCCAGCACCTCTAGTACAAGCACCTCCAGGACCAGCAGCTCCAGCACCTCCAGGACCTCCAGTACCACCAGCTCCAGTACCTCCAGCACCAGTAGCACCACCAGCTCCGGCAGCTCCAGCACCTCTAGTACGAGCACCTCCAGGACCAGAAGCTCCAGCACCTCCAGGACCTCCAGTACCACCAGCTCCAGTGCCTCCGGCACCAGCAGCACCTCCAGCA